TGGGATCTGAGTTGAGGTTCCAAGCTGCAAGCCCACAGAGAAAGCCATTGGGACAGGAAAGGTGTGGCCACTCTGTAGTAACCCCCTGGTGGATTGGGAGTGGTATGGATGGGTTCCACAGTTCCAGGCCTACTGAGCAGAGAGCAGATCAGAGCCTTTGAGGGAGCTGGGATCCAGAGCTCACCTTAGAAAAGTAATAAGCTGGAGCGTTGACAGTGTTCCTTATGGTAAGATTAATTGTTAAGATCTGAGGAAAGTCTGAGCATAAACTCACCTCTGTTTTCACCATTACATGAGTACCTTTACCCTGTGTGTGTGTATGTGTAACCTGTGTGTCTGACGTATACCTGTATCCGATGCAGTCCCTCCCGGATGGTCATGTCCCCGGAATGAGAATGGACAGAGGAGTGTCTATGCCTAACATGTTGGAACCAAAGGCAAGTGCAGCTGTTATTCACTTTCCTTCGAGATAGTGAAGGTTTGACTATGTACTGCCGATGAGATACTATAGGAAATGTCTTGAGTCCCTGTTGTTTCTCTTTACCTCATCCCAATCATTGCTCCTTATGTGCCAAATCTCTCCCTCTGTGCTGGCCCCCACCTCGCATGGGTGCGCCTCCTGTCTGCTCCAGGGGTGGGACAAGAGCAGCCCCTAGGAGGGATTTCAGGGGGCAACACTGAGAGGCTGAAAGCGCCTGAGTGATGCCCAATGCAGCTAATTCCCCATCCAGCTGTGAAGCTGCCACATTCAAAGACCCAAAACAGCAGGAACCCACAGTGCTTAAACCTGGATAGACGCATAACTCAGGAACAGGCGCGTTTAGCTGCAGTGAGGCCGGGTTAGTTACAGAGTGTTAGTGGAAAGGGAAGGGCTTAATTCTCACACTAGGGCCTCTTTATACCACTCCAGCTGTGGAAAGAGGCCTTAGTATAACTGAGCATCAGATCCTAAAAATTAAATAAGGTTTGATACCCAAGTTGCTGGAGCAGGAAGAGGAGTCATTTATACACAGGCATTGTCCAACGTACCCACCTGTGTATGCTGACTGTTAGTAAAACAAATGCAGTTATCAGCATAGCTGTTATGCCTCTCCTTACAGTACGTCTGAATCTGTGGGTTAGAACAACACACCTTCCTAGGGGTGCACACCAACCCATAAGAAGAGATCATTCTCCTTATTAAGAGATAATGTGAAGCTGCCTGCTACAGGGAACAGATGCATTTTCCCCACCTTTGCTTTCAAGCAAAGCTCGCTGCCTTTCTGAGATTCTCTCTTTCCGTTTAATTCCAGTCCTGTTTGAATGGTATGGTGAACCAAAAGGGAAGCCTGAAAACATTATTTTCAAGAGTAATTGAAACACAATGGGAAGGGACTGCAGCAGTGCATCTTTTCCTGTGTAGTAGTACTGCACCTGCCTTGACGGGACTGTATGTAACAAATTGGCACAGCTACCTGTCCAACTGGCAGAAGCCCTGTACAATCTCAAGATGACTCCTATGTGACCAAGAGGAATGTTCCTTAGGTGTACCTCCGCTTCCCACACAAACATTTAGACTGACGCGTGCTCACCAAAATCTGTCATTTCTCAGTATTAAAATGAAACACTCATGTGACCCAGGTGCATTAATCCCCATGTGTATAGATTACACTCAACTCTTATGGTCCTACAATATCTTGGATTTTTGTGTAAAACATAGTGAAGGAAGTAAATAGAGGCATTGTTCTTGGTCATTACTGTTAATAGTTACAGGGAGAAGATTGTTACCAACTAATGTGAAATGTGGCTTATGAGAAATGAATTGGGAGTTGGGGGGGAATCTTATTCCATTTCTGAGCCTGCAGATGGCAGCATCCAAAATTAGCTATCACCTAAATTGGCACAAACTGAGACCCCAAGTTGGTAGCCTCAGCAGAGAAGCCAAAGTCTAAAGCAGGCAAAGAGGCTGGAGCACCATTGTAATACACCTAGCCGTTGAGCTGCCACCTCTACCGAATTTTACGGGACGGTCCCAGTTTTGAAGAGCTCGAGAAGTGAGACAGATGGTGGGACGCTTGCGGTGCTGCTGCCCATACTGCACCTGTTCTAACAATGAATAACAGACTCACATCTCCAGGGCTGTCAGTCCAACTGCCTTCATCGGCCCTACATTAACTTTTGAAAAGAGGGATTCTTAGGGTGTTTGTTGAGAAAGGGATGTCATCGCCTGGGTATAAAATGCAATACTTTACAACTGTGGCTAAAGGCATTTTGGGACTGAAACAGAGTGTTAATAGTGAGAGGGGTTCAATTAGAGCTGTGGTTTATGTTGTATACATTTCTCTATTGCTGGTTAACCGGCTGAAAAACTATGGTTTTGCCAAAATCATAAGGGTTGATGTTTCTGTCTTTAGGGTGAGCAGCAATTTTTGCAGACAACATTGCTTTTTCTGCATTTGAGCCGGCACCAGACCTATTATAGAAGGCCCTAGCCCTGGCTTCATAAGCCTTGACCTACATGAAATGTATATTTTAAAAATATATTTATATATCTACCTTGGGGAATTCACCACTCCCTAAATCCTGCTTTATTCTGGCTCCTTACTCCAATATAATGCCTGCTTTGATGCAGTATAACTCCTTACAGCCACCATTGTTGTTGATGGACCCAGGCAACATATTTTTAAATAACTGTTTTATTCTTGCTTTGGGTGGCAAATTCTGACATTTTCCTAAGGGTAAAATTTATGGGAATTTTGCTGAAGTAAAAGTTTAGTTTGTGTTGACATACAATAATGTAGGGCCAGATTCTCAGCTGGTGTAAATTGGTGTAGCCCAATTAACTTGCCAACAGCAACTTAAATGAGCCGAGGCTTGGCTCAAAATGTGTGTTTATTGCCCATGAAAAATGTGGGATGTGGAAATCAGTGAATTTCACGAAACTTCACCCAATAAAAACAAGGAACGGGTGCCTCAAAAGGAGGTTAGAGTTTGTGTATTCTGAAACCAAGAATTATGAACTATGCTATGTAGTGAATTTTTAAATATAAAACGTGATGATGACCTCAAACCTTTGAAATAAGCTTTCCCTGTGTTCACTGTGGTTATTTTATGACAAGTTACACTTTTTCATATAAAATTGTATATTGTAGTTATTTTAAGTGTTGAACAGAAACGATGTAACTCTTAAAGTATAAAGTAGAACTAATTGTACAATTATGAGAATGTCAGACTCTAAGACATACTGGTTGTAAGATATGGTTAAGTACACATTATTTAAGTTATTAACTACAATAAACTCAATGGTATGTTCATTTATGGCTGAATCTTATTTATTATGCTTCTGAAAAATGTGTTGGGATAGTTGGTGACAATGGAATGAACTTAGTGAAGCAGGACAACACAGAGTTTTGTTACCAGGGACAGTCTTAATGTCTAAGAACGTTACGTGTATTTATAACATTGGCTGGCTGCATAGCGGTTTCTGTGAGAGGACTTGGTGGTCTCTGTCCTTTCCCCAGTGGACAAATATCCATATCACTAAAACCACCACCACAGCTGGCAATAAAGGCCAATCCAATTTGCACTGAAGCCCATGGAAAAACTCACATTAACTTAAATAAGAGTTGGGTCAGGCCCTAATTGAGAAGCTTGTGGGCATGCTCAGCAGCGAGGCCAAAGGTGAAATGGACAATAGAAGGTGGACCATTAGATTTTCCATTACCTTTCGACATGGTCTTTCTAAGTTATGGCAAAGACACATAGGTGTCTTGGCAAAGGGACACCTGCACTGTTGCTGTCTATGCTGTAGATGTTTGATAACTAAACAGAGGGCTTCAGTTTCCAGGGCTGTGAATCCAGCACTTTATTTTAGGCACCAAATTTTATTAATTCCTTTCTGTGGCATATCATTTTGACTGGGTTAGATTGATTAGGGAATAGCTGACAGGAAAAGTTCCAGGGCTTTTCATTTTAAAACTGTGGCATTAAACCTGTCCAAACAAATTAAGAGCATGATTTTCCTTAGTTCCAAAAATTGATTAATGCAGAATATCTGAATATTCAGTACAATATTAACCAAACCAGAGAACCTCATAAAATATTGTAGAGAAGATTTAATGGATGTATGCCATGTTAAAGAAGGGGAAGGCATGTAAGATAAGTTCCTACTACAAAATCTTTTCCTGCAATCCATCCATGATGTCAAGGTCAAAATGCACAGTGGGGACCTGTGATTTGTTTGTAAACAAATCAACAAACAACATGAAAATAATTCATCTGATAAATTTCACTCAACACAAGGCCCAATTTGATAACTAACAAAGTTGTTAAGAGATGCTACTTTTTCTGACTGTACTTTCAGGTGGTGGTGGTTGAAGTACAATAAACTTTAATTCTTTTCCTTAGACCTGTGCAAATTATTGCAACCATCAAACGTGTTCATGGATGCTACATATTTTACCTAAATAAACTCCACGCTAACTTACCAAGTGGCAAAAAATTGACTAGTGATGCATCTTTGTGGCTAAAAACAAATATATATATTGTACTTTTTTATATAAGTCTGTGGGAAGTGTGGATATACACATCTCTGAAAATGGTGCTGACATGTATTGTACCTACAAAATGTGGTCGAGTTGGGTTTGTTAGCGAAGGAGTATTTGTTCAAGCCAGATTGGACTTCACTTTCAGGCAACTTAAAGAAGCTTTTTTTATAGTTTTGTTATTTCTTTCTAAGAACAGTGGTTGTGTGGTTGGGTGAAGAATACATGTATGTTCTTTTGTTTTTGAATGTAAATACGTCTCTTCCTCCCCTCCCCCCCAATCCCTCTTATACACGAACAGATTTTTCCATATGAAATGCTCATGGTGACCAACAGAGGGCGAAATAAAATATTACGGGATGTAGACAGAACCCGGCTTGAGGTAAGGAAGCAAGTTCCTAAATGTACTTCCCTACTGAAGTTTATTCTTCCTCCTTTGAACGATCAAATGTAGAAGTGTAGGCCCTTGGTTAGAACCAAGAAGCCCTCTCAGAAATGCCTTGCGTAGCAATGGAGATTTGTCAAGAGGAAGGATTCAGGAGGTGGTAGCAAAGGCGAAGGGTTAAATACTGTAGCAATTGCAAATCTGCATCGAGGCATGAGTATGAATGTCTCATTTAACCTTATCGACGGAGCTGCTCAAGCATCCAGTTGTATTTGCTCGTAAATTGATGAGAAGGCAGATATTGGTAAATCGTTATCCAATAATCATAGGAACATGAGATCAGGTCCAGTATCACATCTCTGACAGTGGCCAGTTCTAGATGCCATAGGTGCTGGAACTAGGGGTGCTGCTGCACCTCCCTGGCTTGAAGTGGTTTCCACCATATACAGGGCTTACCATTTGGTTCATTAGCTCTCAGCACCCCCTCTATACAAATTGTTCCAGCCCCCCTGCCAGATGCTATGGAGGAGCCAGGGACTCCAGAGTGCCCTGTTATGGAATAACCTGCCCACAGCAGAAGTTTCTTCCCAGCTGCCATTCATTAGTGTCTGGCTTATGTCTAGAAGCATGAGGTTTATGTCTCTACTTCCACATAAAAAATTGTACATGAATGTGGGTTAAGGTGACTTGGGCAGTTGTGTGATGTTCTGACTGCTTGTGGTTCTAAACCCGGTTTCTTTGAAGGGGGCCACCAATATCCAGACAGCATTGTGGTCATTTCGATATGTTTTTAAAGGAATGGATCTGTGAGCTATAGGTGTAAATCCTGCCCTGTGTTTTGCTCGTGCACCAGGGACAGCTTCATCCCCTCCACCCAGCATATTCTAAGCAGCAGCTGAGGAAGAAACCTGTGTAGAGTCTGAGACAGCACTATGAGGGGGGTGTGGCCAGTGCAGGTGCTGGTGCACCACAGCCTTTAGGGAGCGTGGTTTGCTGGAGAGATGGCTTGGTCAAACCTTTCCTTCCCTAGCACGTGTGCTGCGTGCTGCTGCACATGCTAGCTGGCCCAGTGTATTGCCAGGAAGGGCGTCCTTCTGAAAATTTCCCCTTTAATCGCTCTGTCTGTTTTCCCCCTCTTAAAATGGAAACAATACTACCTATGTCGCAAGTGAGCTGAGAAGTCTAATTAATGGGGACACAGGAAACCCAGTGGATAGAGCACTGGACTGGGATTCAGGAGACCTGAATTCAATTCCGGGCTCTGCCGCTGGCTGGCTGGGATGATAGGCATGTCACGTTACTTCTCTGTGCCTCAGTTTCCCCAGCTGTGCAATGGGGATGATACTTGTAAAGTGCTTGGGGGACCTACTGATGAAAATCACTACATAAGATGTGTAGGTATTATTATGAATTCATTTGTGGTGGCTAAGCACCTTGAGAACTTTGTTAGCATTATTTCAGTGTGTGTCCCTGGACCTTTAATCAAGCCCCTAAAACTAGCACTGGAGCTGTTTGCCAACTTACCCTAGCTCCCTGAGACTACTGATGTGCTTTGGAATGAAATCTTTAATGCGCTCATTCTCCACTGGCATCTCCATGGTTGTGACTGACTGACTGTGCTTTTCTCCCTTTCTCCAGCGTCACTTAGCACCGGAAGTTTTTCAAGAAATATTTGGCATGACAATACAAGAGTTCGACAAGTTACCTCTTTGGAGACGCAACGACATGAAGAAGAAAGCAAAACTCTTTTAATTCACTCTACATTTATAGCCCTTTAAACAAAACAAAACAAATTGCATAAGATATTGTATGATAAAGTCCATATTCTCTTTGGAGAGCAACTTACTCATCCACCAAAAAGGGAAAATCTGACAAAGGCACCTGTATTCATAGCAATTGGGCCAACATGAACATTTGCCAATGGGGTAAAAATTTCTATGTTCAGAAACTTGATGGCAATTTTCACATGTGTAAACTTTTTACATGTCGTATACATGATAGGAAGCGGTTCTTTTCTTCTCCCTCAATAATATTCCCTTTAATTTTTGTCCAGAATATGACGGACTTTATTGCTAGAGCCAGGAAGTGCGCTTAGGATGCCTAGTAGAATGAAAGAATTGTAATCACTTCAAGAAATGAATATATATACATATATTCTGTAGTATACCCATATGGTAAAATTAATCCTTTTTGCACACCATTTCTTAACTGGCACTGTTTTAAAACAGCATATTCTTTCTGTTATGAAAGAATGAGGCAGGCAGTTTGCTCTGTTCTGCTGCATACCAACCAAATTATTGGAAAACAAATTCCCTGCTTGTACTTGTACTACATATATGCTAGGATATCAATAGTGAATTGCTGTGTATGGTTTCAGATCTTCCCTCCTCCATACTTTCTGCTTTAATTAACATGGCCTGGGCTTTACTAGTCCTTTAAGTAAAGGGAATGGTGTAGGAGTGGCAGTTTTCTTGTTGTTTAGTCTGGGGATTTAGGGAGGGTGGTGGGTGGAGGAAATGAAAGGGTTAAAAGGAAATTCTTCTCAAGTGTGCTCTGGTGCACAGCCACAGACTTTGGGCCAAATTCCCTGCTACCGCAAAATGGCTCAGCTGCACTGAGTTGCACCAGCAGAGAATTTTTTTCTGTGTGAGCAGACATGCGATTTAACCCCTCTTGGCAGGGGAAGGGAAGTTTCTATGTGAAATAGTCCTATCTTGCACCATGTTCTCCCAGTATAGGCTCATTGGTTACATCACTGTTGCAGCCATTGACGATACTGCACAGTGTATCAAACTGAGCACTTCTTTATTGTTTGTTGTTTGTTAACGTTTTCACTCATGCTTTGAAAAGAGGGTTTGGAATTTCTTTGGTGCTACAAAGATGCACCCTTGGTATTTTTTTGTTTTGTTTTGTGTTTTTCCTTTGTGCCTGGCACGCTTTATAGGGTGCAGGAAATCATGCAGGATAGTTTTTTGAATCGAGTTATGCTTATTATTGTTTGCAATCTTTTCCCACTGTGTTCCAGAGTGTGAAGATTGCCTGTATATAACTTCACTGCTTGGAGGCCAGGTTGTGTTCACACAAGGACGCGAGGAACACATGACCTTCCCTGAATGAATGCTTAGCTGCTGAAAGGTCAGCGTCTTCTCTACATTGGTGCTGAACTGCCAGTGTATCCCTCTCTTTTATGAGTGCGCTACTCTACAGAGGGATGTCAAGATTTTCCTTTTAGATTTGATAGTCCTCATGGGAGACACCAGAGCCTTTTGTGTTTTCCATTACTGAGGACTAACACATAGACATCAGGAGGAGGAGGTGGTTAGGTCTGTTAGGTCATGTAGGAGATTTGAGATTCTGGATCATTGCATTGAGTTCTGCACTTCTG